CAATTTGACGGACCTGGATGGTTCCGAATACTCGACAAACAGAATCCATGCCTGCCCAGCGGGATTCCCCCAAGCTTGCAGAGTGGGTGTACAGGCTGAAAGATCATCATGAACGAATTGTATGCAAGGATCCTAGTGTTCCAAAGAATGGAAACCATGGATTCAAAGCCATACTGAGGACATGGTTGATGCATCGTCACCAGGTAGTAGCGACACCTAATGTGATTCATTCTTGTTGGCTGGTCAGCGGCCCCTCGTACCAAAGACGAGTCTCCTACCTGACTCGTGCAGCTTTCCATAATAAAATTCAGCAGCAAGTACTAGAGGGGTTAACCCGACGAATTTTTATGTTTATAGATGAATTAGAGAACCAACCATTAGTTAACATATTTCGTGCGGGATTCACGCAAAATTTGACGCTCGAGAATTTCAGATTCGAAGACGATGATATCGAATCGACAAAACGTCAATGGACATGATTAAGATAGGTTAACAATATCGTATCCGAGTTATGGGGATACACCTATCATGTAAACCGAAGCGACTGCATCATCTAAGGGAGGATGATGAAATATACCAATATTTCTGGTATAGCTGAGGCATGTCACTTCGGGTATAGGAAGTAATGATACAGGAAGCAGTGGCTTCCTGACTAACGTACAGTGTTCCACTTAGCCAAGTGGGTTACTAATACCAGAACACTTCCGTGTTCTGGTTACGGGTATTCCCCTTCCCTGGAAGGGTATATATAAGAGCATACCTGTGTGTAATAAACCGAGGAGCTAAGGAGCAGTAGTGTTCTCACCGAACACTGACTCTTTATTTTTGTGCCGTGATCTTCCAGATTCACAGGGTGTCGTTTCAGATTGGTGTCCACAGACTTAGCTAGTGAGCCCAGATTCCATCAATTTGTCAAAGGTGTTCATGTAAAATTGCGTTTAGGAGGATCATGTGGAGTTATTGCCTCGGGACGAGTTTCCGCAGGCGGAACGAACGACGAGGCGCCGCGAGAGATCGCCAGCGGCGGCGCGGCGGCGCGCCGAGAGTCTCGGCGGCGCAGCCCGCCGACGATTCTCCAACGCGGCGCACGGGCCTGATCAAATCCCCAACATCCTGTGGTTTCGATGCGAAACCCCGGAGGGCTGCCCCTCAAAGCCCTAAAAAAGTGCTGCCCTCGCTTCCCTCGAGCCTCCCTCTTGGTCAGCCCATGATTGTTCGATAAATGAACATGGAGGCATAGAGTGCTTCTGTGATTATTGTGAATAGTTTACGTGATGTGAAGCATATGTCCTATCGCTGATTATTCCTATCTCTGATGAGCAGAATTGGTGTGGTCGCTAAGTCGTTGGTATTGTCGTCGACGTCGTCCAAGGCCGTCGATAGCACGCAAGCTGTCTCCGCCCTAAGAGTGAACTATGTAGTGAGACCTGAGCAGTACCTGATGATTCTCCAAAGGAGAGCAGTTCGCGAGACGGGAAGGCTTAAATTCGATTAAACTTACAGACTCTCTTCGCGTATCGACTTGCATTTGCTCCGGTATTGCCACTGGAACTGTACCAAGGAAAACGAATAAGTCACCAATTTTTTTTCCTGCGCGCCGCTGCGAGTACATATATTAGAGATATAGACGGGTTGGCTACGTCGAGAACAGGGACACACCTAGAAGGGCCGCATGGACTTACCATCAGGATTTCGGCAGAAAAACTTTTCCTGACCGGCGGGTGGGAACATCTTCTTGTCCCACGCAGAAAGACCCCAGATCTCTTGGTCGTCCGCACGGCGATAGAACAATTTACCCGTGTTGGGGAAGTACAGATTTATCGTCTCTTCATAAACAGAGCCATCTTCCCCCAAGGGAACTCGAAGCGGCGGTTCACCCTCGCTTTGAGAGACCAGGATGTGTGGTGGTGTGGCCATGTCGATTTTAGATACGGGATGATTGCACGTAACTGAGAAACTCCTGCAACTCGAGTTTTACCCGTGTTCGAAGGTACGGGAAGCTTAACTCTTCCACACGAGTACTGACGACCTTGATCGATTCCGATGGCCGGTCACACGGTCGATGAACAATGCGAGTTTTCGCAGCGCAGCGCAGTGTAAAATTCCACAAAAATGGAAGCCCACGATGGGGGAGGGTAGACGATGGGGCTGATGATCTTTACTGAATACTTGACAGTGATCGGGTGGTCCCTTCACATTAGACTCACAAGTAAACCTTCACTTTTGGTGAATCGCAAAGCTCATCCAGACTCACATCAGTCCATCGGATTCCCCGTCGACAATTAGGAAAAAAAAACGGAGTCTCCCGTGCTGACCGCCACAGGGGCCGGAGCGGCAAACAGTAGAAAGCTCCGATTTCAATATCTATGTAAATAAAAACTT